TGTTGCTTTCGCTTGGTAAATATGACAAGGCCCGAGAGTATCAGGAGAAAGCACTCGCTATGCAAATAGAAATTGGCAATAAACAAGGAGTAGCAGCAAGCTACGGAAACCTAGGAACATTGTTGCAGTCGCTTGGTAAATATGACAAGGCCCGAGAGTATCAGGAGAAAGCACTCGCTATCCGAATAGAAATTGGCAATAAAGAAGGAGAAGCAGCAAGCTACGGAAACGTAGCAACATTGTTCGAGTCGCTTGGTAAATATGACAAGGCCCAAGATTATCAAGAGAAAGCACTCGCTATTCAAATAGAAATTGGCGATAAAAGAGGAGAAGCAGCAAGCTACGAAATCTTGGGAGGGATTTTCTCAGCGCTTGGTGAATTTGACGAGGCTGAACGGTACCTAGGGACAGCATTACGGATTTTCAGTAGAATAAATGCCAGAAAAGGGAAGGCAAGCGTTTATGAACAGCTAACAGCTTTGTTTTTGTCGCGAGGTAAATATCGAAGGGCCGAGGACTATCTAGACAAAGCACGGGCAATTAGAATGGAAAGCGAAGACAGACCGGGGGAAGCATCAGGTTACAGCTACCTAGGAGCCATTTCCTTGCGTTGTGGTCTGTATGACAAGGCTGAAGAATATTTCAAGAAATCCCTTACAATCTTCACGGAAATGGGCGACAAAACGGGAGAAGCAATCTCTTACGGACACATAGCAGCATGTTTTCGTTCGCTTGATAAATATGACGTAGCTGAAGATTACTACCAAAAGGCACTCTCTTTAAGCAGGAATATTGGACTCAACCTGGAAGAGTTTCAGTTCCTTTGCGAGCTAACAGTGTTGAAGTTATTACAATGTGACCGCAAAGAAACCTTTTCTTATCTTTATCAGTGCATTGAAAAATTCGATACTTTGCGTGGTTTTCTTAAAGACAGTGATCGATTCAAAATATCTCTTTTAGAGAGGTACGGTACCTTTCCCTACAAGTTGCTGAGTCATCTGCTTTCTGCCACCGGGATGCCACAAGATGCTCTTTATGTCGAAGAGCTGATGCGGGCAAGAGGCCTGGCCGATTTGATGGCAGCTCGATACTCTGCTAAAAAACAGATCTCAGGCAATCCGCATTCATGGTGTGATATTCAAAATATTATCACGAAGGAGTCTGACTGTATCTGTGTTTATACCTCGGTTGGTAAAGAAGATGTACGGTTTTGGATTCAGAAAGCAATGGGAGTGGTTCTTTTCGCAGAAAAGAAAGTTAGCCTGGCCAAAAACGAGGTGACCGGATTAGTGCCTGGTTTAGATGAGTTTTTCAGAGAAAGCTTCTGTAACCCTGCCAACGATATCTCTGAAGAGAATCTTCTCTTGTTTTACAAGATAACCATCGCTCCCGTGGCCCATCTACTGAAGGAACCTGAGATCATAATTGTCCCCGATTCTTGTATGTACCAAGTTCCATTTGGAGCCCTAACTGACCAAAAAGGAAAATTTTTATCATCGACGTTCAGGATCCGCATCATTCCCTCTTTGACGACTTTGAAGTTGATCCAGGACAGTCCACCAGACTATCACAATCAGAGTGGAGTTCTGGTTGTGGGTGACCCTAAGGTGGGCGTGGTGATGTACAAAGATAGACGCAAGGAAATAAGACCATTGCCATGCGCAAGAAAGGAGGCGGAGATGATTGGAAAACTCTTTGGTGTGATTCCTTTGATTGGAGACCACGCAAAAAAGCATACTGTACTGCAAAAAATAAACTCCGCGGGTCTAATACATTTTGCTGCTCATGGTTTTAGTGAAAGAGGAGAGATTGTTCTTTCCCCCGTGTGTACAACCAGCCGTGTTCCCCCCCGAGAAGAAGCTTACCTTTTGACGATGGAAGAAATTTCAAAAACCCAACTGCACGCTAAACTGGTGGTTCTAAGCTGTTGTCACAGTGCTCGTGGACAGATTAAAACCGAGGGAGTTATCGGAATCGCCCGAGCGTTTCTTGGATCCGGTGCTCGCTCAGTGTTGGCGGCACGCTGGGCCCTCGACGACGAAGCCACAGAGCAGTTCATGACTTGCTTCTACGAACACTTATTTCGCGGTGAAAGTGCCAGTGAATCTCTACACGAGGCCAGGAGGTGGATGAGAAATAATGGCTTTGACGAAGTTAAGCAATGGGCTCCGTTCATACTGATTGGCGACAACGTGACAATTGATTTTAGAAATTGGCCAGTGTCATCTACACCCTGAGAGCCACGAGTAAAGTTGACTTACTCCATCGGAATGTAAAGGATTAACAAAGCTCCCACAAGTCAATTGTTCACCTGTTGTAGAAGGAAGCCATCTGCAAAGACAGGACTAATACATAGAGAAAGACATTTCTAACGAAAGGATCGTCGACATCGTGTAATGATCTGGAACAGGACAGTTCATAATGAACTTTTTAAGAGATTTAAATAATCAACAATCCTCAAAAGCCTTCTTTTCCGAAAGCTGTTAGCTGGTCAAGCGAAATAAGTTTTGATAATTAGCATTTTTTCCCAAAACGATTGGTCACTCAGGCTAAACCAATTTCAAATAATTTTTCTGCAAGTAATAATTAGTAAAACCAAGAAAAATTTTCCAGTTTTTCAAACAACTCTCCATTTTTCCTTCTGTATATAGTCCGAAAGATGTTTTTCAAGGCTACAACTACTTGAACATTCTAGTAAAATTCTATGATCACTTGTATAAAAAAAGACGTTTGCTAGCAGTGAGATTTAGCTATTTAAGGTTTTCATTGTATCTATATTTTCCCCTTTTTTTTTTTTGCAAGGAAATATATAAGACTGTTAATGAAAGTTTTATAGTGCGTCTTGCACTCCCCTTTTGTCGGCTGGTAACGCTTAGTTTTTTAATCGAAATTTACTCCTCGAGTAATTATTTTAAATCCAATGGCCGATATAGAGTTTATAATAAGAAAAAATTTGCAACAAAGTCATTACAGTAGTTTACCAATCTAAAAGACAGCTATCTTACAACTTTTGTTCTTTTTTTATCTTGTCAAATACACGTGCAAGTTAGTCAAGAAGATTCCTTACTATCGATTCGCTCTGGAGTCCTACTGTTTACTCTGTGATGGAAGCTGCTCAAAGAAATTGCATTCACGAATCGTTGTCAAGACTGTTAACAGAGGGATAAAGGCTGATAGTTTCGAAAGAAACTGTTTGGGGCTGCGTCGGTGGGAGTAACGAAATAATTTGGATATATCAACAAAGTTGAAATGGTAAATTGGCCACCGTAATGATTACAAAAGCTGACGTTTCGAGCGTTAGCCCTTCGTCGGAGCGAAAAGAGTCGGAGTCCCTCTGTTAACAGAGGGACTCAGCAGTCATATAATTTGATGAAGCGCAAACATGTATCACTCTATAAGTTTTTCTTAAAAAAATGTTCTATGGCTTAAGATTCTTATTACGAGCGGTAAAATATACGTACTGCAATTTCAATTGGGCTTTGATAGATTTCTGTTAGATCGAACAGACCATTACTTTTGTTCTAATCAATAAGATGCTTTCATTAAAAGTAATTATCATATGGCAGAGTAGTCCTAAAGGGAATCCTAGCGTTTTGATTGGTTCCAACTTGTTCGGGGTTTTACCTATTTACCCACGGAAACGGTCAAAACCCGCGTATTTTAGAATAAACACCTTCGGTCCGAGTTCCATATAGTTATCTACTTACCATCCTTACTTGCTCGCGTCTTGTTGCTGCACTCGGTCCGCACTGTCACTTGCCCGGGCCAAGTTCCAGTACGGCCCTAGCATCCAATTAGTAAGAAGTTTTTATTTTTCATATGTGGTCCTACTATTTCTTCTGGAGAATTAGTTGGACTCTTTTCGATTCTTCGCACACTTAGCACTAGCTTAGGCAGCTCTTTTTATAAAATTATCTCTGCTAGCATGATAAGCGTATTTTAAGATTTCGGAGGGGAACACGACCAGATTCATGACTTGTTTGGTCTCCAAGATTTATTATTTTCTAGTTCGGTCTTTTTGTTCAGTTTATTTTTAATTTTATAATGTCAAGAAGGTTACAGCAGTTATGAGTCATTCGTCGTCTAGCGTGAGGACTGAGCTGCTCTGGGCACACCAGAAGTAAAGACTGCGTCAGTCCCAATTCCCGCTTCCACAGGTAACAAAATGGTATAGAAGAGAAACGTGACGCTAACATCGTACATTTTGATACAGTAATTTATTTCTTTTAGTCTGAAATAATTTGAAGTGGTTAATTGTGTTTTATCAGGGCATGTACGTAAGTCAAAGTAACTTGTCTGAGAGAAGGTGCCACTCTTACAGTCCCATTCCAGGGATTTGACAGAAAAATTCAAAATGTTTGGAGTTTGCGATTTTATTCCTGAACTGGGTAAATGGCTCACGATCTTTCTCACTCTTTTTCATTTACCTCGAGCTCTCCGACCGCGTGACCAAAAGAGACTAGGACTCTGGGAACGAGAATGTTGTTGATCGCGTGTTTAATCATGGGCATCAAGGATGCATAGTGCAGTTTATAGAGCAAGTTCCTGTGTCGTTAGTGAAGGGTTAAAGTATTTAGCTATTTGCTTAATTTTTCAGAAAAACTTAAGTTCAATTCTTTAAAGTGCGAAGAACGTTTTCCCTAGCGTCCTTGTCGAGATTAATTATAAGACTAATTATGGTTTACCGTCTACAATTAAACGTGCACCGATATCGTTTAGATCATATTAAGTATCTGTTACTACATTCCTCATTCTATATCACATACAATGGGGCACTTAAGTGACCCCCAATGATGGCTAAAACGTCATTTTTATGATTCTATTTGTAACGGCAATTTTACGACCAACCTTCTGTTTGGCAAGATATTGATACAGGAAATTCACATCTTGTAGATAATTATACCACAGTTTTTTTTTAACCTAAAGAAATAGAAAGGAACCTTTCATTTGCGTGATCTCGCTCCGTACTCAAAACCTACCGTCAGAGCAGGTTTTCCTATATGATAACCTTACGTCTATGGAATCGCGTGAGTTTTAAGGGTGCCCGACAGCTAAAAATAATCTGAAAAAGTGATAGTTCTGCATTAAGCTCGGAAGCATTTGGACCGCTGGTTTCCCCGTGTCTTTGAGCTTTCTCTCTGAATTTTGTAAATGATTAAAAAGTAATATTGTCTGATATCATTGTGACTAAAACCTAAGTTTTGTAAATGAGGCAATTATGCAGATAAAATATTGCGCTTCGTCAAGTATCAATCTCTCACGACTTTTACGTTTTTATTGAATATGAAAATAATGTTTCTGTTTGGAATATAGTTCTAACGAATTGATTGTTTTACTTATTTCTGTAGACTTCATGACTCTCTTAGAATTAACGCCACTTGAAATGATGAAAAACCTTTTCTTTGAAACGCATTTTTCCCCAGGGATTCAATATTACAACGCCATAGCTCCCAATAATATCAAATATGCGGTATTGAGGAGCTGAATTTATTCATAAAAAAACATGCATTGATAAACTTTGTATCATTTGGAGAGTTAGTCTGGCTGACGAAGGAAAACAATTCCAGGATGTGGTTCTTAGTGGGTGCCTTATTGGCTTGCTTTGCTCTCAGTGCAAATAGCCAAAACTATACGATGTCCTTTGACGATGGAAATTTTAACGTGTCGTGGACGCACAACAGAACTACAGAAGAGTTGGAGTTTGAAGTTCTTGTCAACGCAACAGGTTATGTCTCCTTTGGGTTCACCTTTACACCAGAAGACATGCAGAACTATTCTATTGTAGTAGGAGGCACAAATAGTTCCGGACACAATTATTTCAATGTAAGTTGTTGTTTTTTTTTCTTAGATCTGTACATGATTTGTCCCTAGATGCTCTACTTAGTGAACCCGGGAGAACTCGTTAGTGAGATAGGCGGTGTATTTTACAGGCTCAATGTAGTCCATAGCGCTGCCACATACTGCTAAGATCATCAGTTGTGTCGATCCTTTTTTCCCTTACGAGTTTGACAAGCTTACTATTAGGTAGAGAGGACCAAACATCTGATCACTGAATTATTTTATGGGAAAGGGTGCACGACTAAAATAGGGATCGTAAGCAAACCACGGCGGCGACTGCAACGAGAACATAACTAAACAAAATATATAATGGCAGAACAATGGCTCAGCTCGTGCGTCTTAAAACTTTGCACTTTTCTTAGCTGTCTACTGCAAACAACAACGTAAAATCACCAAAACTTGCGAGATCTGAGAACGGAAATTCCGATAGAAAATTATTTAAGTTTCCATTTGGAACTCAACGCTACTCACATACATTATGCTGAGGTTTAGGTGTGGCGCAATAAAAAACAGTTAACACAACCATTAATTCCCAAAATTCTAACTCAAAATATAGGTTCACTTTTCAATTGACTTCCTCCCCGGCATTGCCTTCCTGATTGCTCAAGCTCCCTATTAAGTTCTCTTTCTCTAAACATAGGTCTTCGTGGGTTAATTGGTTGTAGCTGGAACACAACAGATTAAGATCGAGCTCAGCTGATTTCTGTTTACAGGCTTTATCCTCTGTAATATCGTTCTTTTTGCATCTTTCCTGTTAGGACCAATTTCTGAAGAAATCCAGTGCCCACTTTCTTGTTAAAGTTACGATTTTTCTAACCAGCACCAATAACTTACTCGAAATCGTGGTGGAAAACACCTGGGACAAGGCCCGTTTGTCTCAACAAATTCGTTTTTCAATCCCGATCTGTTGGTTTTGTACAGTCAGCGTTAGCTTCAAGATTTTAACTTGCGATTTGTGTAGGTTACAATTTTTGGTCCTGATTCAAATGCTTATCCGATGTAAAGTAAATAAGGCGTGGACCGAATGTAATGCTTTATTTGATATTCAAATTTTCTTTGTATTGCAGTCATGTTCGTCATGGTTGTTATTCAAAATAAGTACCGATATTTTTCAAACTCATTCAGGTGTAAATGTTAATTGCTTGGAAAGCCCGGGACGCAGGATCTCACTCGATTCTTTTTTTCTTTTTTCTTTTTAATCACACTTGCGTCTCTCGCCCTGGCATTCACGCATTCTAGCCCGTAATCAGCTCATCAGCGGATATTGGCCACAAGATATGAATTAGATCACGGAAACATTGTGATGTGAACTATTTTCAGACTCAAAACAATAATTGTATTGTATGAGGGGTATCTCCTAACATAAATATTCACTTCCGGTAGCCATTTTTGGAGAAGAGTCTCTTGAGATTTTTATGACATTTTGTGAATTTTAAATACTTTTAACCGTAAAGTGTTTGTGGAATGTAGAGTGTAACATCCGATGTGCAAAATTAATAATTTTCACCTACAAACTCTAGAGTTACCACACCAGCGGCCTCAGGAAACCTACCCTGGATGCGGATCCGCAAATTTACACGTTGGACAGTGCTGCAGAAGAAAACGGCACCACAACTCTACGCTTCCGACGTCCGCTGGAGACAAGCGATAGTAGAGACATCCAGTTCAACGTAAGTCTCTTAGCTGAAGGTGCATTTCAAACAGAGCATCTTTTGATTGAGTGTCGAAGAACCAAACGTTAAGTAACCTGAGTAGCAGGCCTTCCAAGGGATTGGGGAGTGGGTCCGAGCGAAGAAGGAAGGTGGCGCCAGATTTGCAGACCAACCATAGCGCAGATTCATGATGAAACAAATGCAATCCAATTCTGGATGACAGAGCTGAACAACGTATACGCATGCGTTAGGTTTTGCCGCGGAGGCACGGACTTTGAGTCGTTCGCATGGTTGATTTCCTATTCTGTTGCTTCGAGGCATCGTTTTCCTTGCTGCCTTTCTTTTACAGAACAACCTCCAAATAGTTGGTACACCCCCTAAAAATTTTCAAAAATTAATTTCTCCTTAAAACCTCTGGAAATAGGAAAGTGCCTTCGACGAAAACAGAGTTCCTCGGTTTTAAAAGTCAGCCCGTATCATTTTCCGCTAATTTCGCTAAATTTTAGACCAAGGACACTTGAGCCCGCGTTGTTGACCGCATATCTTCTGACGTAGCTTTTCATTATTCAGCTCTCTCATTCTGGATTTATTTTGATGCACAGCTAAAAACTACTTTATTTCTTGAAGTGAATTAATTAACTGCAACTCAGTAATTGGTAGTGTGTATTTGCGCTTTTTGAGTTTCTTTCTCGTTGAACTATCCAAGGAATAACCCTTTAAAACTGAATAAGCCGCTACGTACGTTTATTTATTCTGTTTGATGTTAGTCTGTGAAGTGTCTTGCGAACCAGGAGAATATGATATTTATGATGGTTTTTTCTGCGCGTTGCAAAATTGTTTATTAGTTTAAGGAAACCACAAAATATTGGTCTGGTAAGATAGAAATACAATAAAGAGACGGTTATTTATGAAGAAAAAATAGGGATGGGTAAGCACGGAGGAGATTAGAACGGATTGAAAAAAACTTGCAAAATGTACTTTAGCTTTTACATATATCACAAATGATTCAGTAACATGGCTCTTTCCAAAAGTCTTATTTTTACGTTGCAGGAGACCACTCGTGTGTTCCTTGTGTGGGCCTATCACAAAAATTCGGATGCAGATAACGTCCTTATGTACCATACGAACAGAAATTACACAGAAGAAGCTGTGCAAGTTGTCTTTCCACCACTGGAAATGACGTCAACACCTCCGGCCCCCATGACAAGGGATCGTCCAACCGCGGGATCCTCTTCAGTTCAAGTGGTTGTCGGTGGTTTCGCACTCTCTGTCTTAGCAACACTTATGTTTTGAAGTAGCTCTGGGTTACCGTCAAAAAAGAAAAGAAAACAAAATACAGCAGTTTTACACGCACCTGCCCGAACAAGAACAGCAAACTCTCTGCTTTTTGCAACAAGTCAGAGAAGCAATATTAGTCTTATTCAACGACATACCGTGCTCATTTCGCCACCTGATTGTTTAATCCCTAATCACTGTTCTGATTGGTTCATCATTTGTCTCTTATGCATATCTTGTTCCACTCTTTAATAGCTTTTTTATGAGTGTTGAAGTGGGTACATTTCTATTCCGGGTGGCCCAATGGTAGTCTCCTTCGCAGCCGTTTTTCGGGATGTCACGCAACGCTCCTCCCCCTTCGGGGGAGCGTTGCGTGACATCTCGAAAGACGACTGGGAAGGAGACTAGCCCAATGGCTGATCAAGGGCCGGAAAAAAGGGTCACCGAATCTTTGCTTTATGCGCTCATTAACTGTCGTCGAGGAGTTGCGAGAAAAAGAATCGAAGCTTCATTTGTTCTGTAGGCTCAGTACAACAAACACCCTATAATGGTTCTCAGATCCTTTCATCTTAAGATTTGGAGTGGACCTGGACACTGGCCATCAATTAACACTTACTTTTTAGGAGAATATACTCTTTTCGTGTTTTGGATGATAACGCTAAGTCTAAATAATTGGACCGATTTAGTTTCCATGGCAGATTTGAAATTGGGTAGACATGCCCAGTTTTAGTTCTTTTCTAAGAAATAAAAGATCAAAAACTTCCTATCAAACCTTTTACTGCTGACCTACCAAAAAAAATGAGTACCATCCAAACATTTCAAGGTCATGTTTTGTTCAGTTAACCATTTACCCCCCTTAACATCAGTATGCATATTCTCCATACTGTTCTCTATACATTTCTTGAGGTGCTCACAAGGAGAATTTGTGCAACAACCTTTTTGGTGATCATTTCCTTTATTCTCGACACATAACTGTCTGGTTCAGGGGTAAGACGGTTGGGAGAATTTAGATAATAGACACTCTTAGGAGTCAAAAGGGTTAACCACTCCACAAAACTTATGAATGGAATAAAAATTCAATGTGTTTGACCTTCTGTTCTTGGTACTAAAGTTGTTTAGCTCCCTGAAAAGGAAGTTATGTTTCCACAGTGAAAAGCAACACATGCCCTGTTGCTAGTCCTATACAGAGGTTTTATTATCTTCAGCATCATTATTTAAGGGCTGGTTGGCACAAGAAATGCACAAATGCAGCAGAAAGAATTAAGATCAGTTGATGTAAATGTACCAAATAAGTAGACATACAAGTTGCCTACCAAAAAACAATCATTGAGAGTATTAACAAGAATGCCTGATGGAGAAGTAAAGTTAGGCAGTACAGTATATATTTTGTGGAATTTTGGATTTTCTATCAAAATAAGTTACTTTACAATATAAGAGATTTTGATGCTGGTTTTCAGTGATGATGGAGTTATAGTTGAAGTAATTGTCATCGGGTGGAGTACACTTCCTCAGTCTTGTAAAACTTGAAATGATCAGAGTTCTAGTGGAAAGCATTTGAATCCACCTGAATCACTTGCAATGAAGTGAAGCGTTATTTTTTGACGTTTTTAATGAAAGCCAGAGGCTGAACCAATCATTAGCAGTTGTCAACATTAGAGCATTATGATTGGTGCTTTGAGGTATTCTTTGAACTCTTTACAATCCCAACACTACTGGTTTCACTGGATCCCTAGAAACAGGCACTTTACACTCAAAACAGTAAAGCTTTGCACCTCTGATTACATCTACAACTAAAGATTAAATAAAAAATCTAGAGATTGTTCGTCAAATCGTATTGGGGTATATCTTACTTATCGCCTTTGGTTTAGTCAAATAATCAAGAACAAAAAAAAGAGAATGAATTAAGGACCTGTCATTAGTTATCACCTGGAGGTATGGGGTGGGTGGAAGGATTTCTTTGGGGGAACACAATTTTAGGGGGGTACAGAGGGGGCATCAGTTGTAGCTAACAGAGGTTAACAGGAAACTATAGAAAATTGACTGCCAATGACAGGGACCATTAGATTACTACAGGTCTTATGGGAAGATCAGGTAAATTTTATTGTGACACGATTAAAATCCTCCGTCCCACCAGACAATAAATAATGACTCATTCCTTAAGAAACAATGGGATTAGAGAGTGTACTTTGACAGATCTCCCTGAATAGTTACAGCCATTACAACCCTCCCAAACCTTCTACAGAGAAGCTTTAACAAAACTAACATAGACTAAGGTGAACTTTAGCTGTTTTTTAGTATAAGTTAGTTGAACTGTACATTGTGAAACTTCCTAAAATAACAGACATGATTGTTCCTTCCAATTCACAACAACAGCTGTGGTATTAACGCAGTTACGGATGAATTCTTGCTCCACTCCACATTGTTGTTTACAAACGGAGAAAAAATAAATCCAATTTCTGCCAGTCACTGTTAACCTACACGTCTGCTAGCGAAGTATTTTATATTTTTCTTTATTCACTATGAACTTGAGAACTTTGCAGCTTGACTTCTGACTCGTTTCTCATATTCTGATCTGTTTTGGCTGAAAGTAAATTGAAGAAGTACAAATATCAATTTTAACTAAAACAATTGTTTAACATGTTCAATTGTGAGCATCTTTTGTATTTACTAAAAAACAGCTACAAACAGAAGAATATCACAAAAACAATTGGTAACTTAAGGGTGAGAAACAAAGGCGAGGGTAGGCATGAAGTATGGAAATGTGCATTAAATGTCATAGATTGTTTTTTATGTTAGTTTATTTCTTGAGTAGCAGTTGTACCCCTGTTCATTTAATATACAACAAGTATCTGAGGCCTAATGCTGGGAGATAAACCAACCTAATGTAAGCATTCCACATGAAGACTCTAGATTAAGAGGCAATGAGTAAACAAGTCATGTTAAAGAACAAACATATTCGCTGGGGGGTTTTTATCTTGTTTTAATTTCTAATTTTCTTCACTTATTTCAAGGAGTTCAAGGATGGATATTCTCACCAGTAAATGGTGTATGCTTCTGCTTGAGCTGGATCTCTTATGTTTGGATCATTCAGTAAGTCTTGAATTCCCAATAAAATCTACGAAGTTAAATTTTAATAGAAAGAGATAAAAATGATGGAAATTATTCAAACAAAACCAGTGCAGAGAAAAAAGCAAATGTGATTAACTAATTCTTTATATATAACTAGCCTTGAAAGTTCAATTTCAATGTAAGGAAGACAACATTACCACACAAAAAAAGTTACAGAAAAATAATGGTCATAGAAATTTTTTTGAAATTTCACTCAAAACAGACATGAGGATTTAACAGGTACTTTTTACTTCCCTGTGATTAACAAACTAGTTATTTACCTGTTTTATAGTGACGGCAGGTCTCCAGTCTTTCTCTTCATCTAGAAGAGACAGACACACTGTGCCAGATGGGTATACATTAGGATGGAAAATTGGAGGATCAAATTTACCTGCAAAAAAATAAATGGAAATTGTACAAACTATTGAAATGTAAAAACATCACTGCTTTGAAACATTATACTGGTTGGCATTTATTGGTAATTCAACTTCTGTTTGTGCCAGTTAATCAATAACAACCTTAATTCACTGGTGGCATCTAATCAAGTAAACATGATAAATGAAGTTTTGCCCTGTTTCAAATATATCTTTTCTTTGCTCTGACAAAGGGCTAACGCTCGAAACGTCAGCTTTTGTAATCTTTTGTAATCGTTACAGTGGCCAATGAACCATTTCAACTTTGCTGATATATCCAAATTATATCTTTTCACAACTTTGAAAAAATGTTATGAATTTTTTACATAACTTTACCGTCAGATTAAAATAAATGCCAAATATATGCAAACTTGTTCTTGTCAAAAACAGGAAGTAAATGAAAGAAAAAGGAAGTTTTCATATCCAAATATGATGAAATTGCACATTCCTTAAAAAGATAAATCATCATGCCCCAGATAAAAATTTCTTGAAAATCAGTAACATCAGAAGGGGATAACTCACACATATCTATGTTGTTCTGGACAGCAGTCATTAACTAAAAAGTGCCGTTAGTACGTGAAGTTAATAACAATGTTATTACACCACTCTTCCCATCGTCCTCCTTGGACTAACAGATCAGAATAGAAACGCGAATAAAAACATATATTTTACCAAAAGGTCAAAGTTCTTACATTTTGGCGGAGAGGATGGATAGTCGTCTTTAAATATCATCTTCAATTTGAAAGAGCCTCCTTCCCATGGGGTCTAAAACGAAGTGGAAATGAAGCATCTTAGAAAGTGTTTCGCTTACTAACCGGCTTTTCCCGTAATTGCAGATAAATTGAGTTCAATAATTGTTAGACATCAAATCTTAACGATCAAACCTTACACCTTTATCCGTTGACAGTTGCTAAATTAATTTTTCCAAAAACTTGAAGTAAATAAATTAGGTTATCAAAATAAATAATAACAAGGCTTGAAAACATTCTCGTTGATCTTCGAATACCGAGACGAAAATGACAGCAACCTTCACGAGGTTAGACACGAGAGGAAAAACAGCCTAATCAGTTTGATTAAAATCGCTAGATACATACCGCTTTCTTTCCTGGGATCGCTGTAGGCAAAACAAAAATAAGTTTAATTATCACCGAGGAGGCAAATAAAAATTTATTTCGTTTAATGATTATCAATCAAAAGCATGGCATTGTATGTCGAGTCAACGGATCAGTTTAGAAGCTTTAGCCAGGATGAGATTGTGAATCATGAAAAAATATTTGTACATCCCACGTACCACATTCCCAGTTCATCAGATTTAGAGTACCATCAGGATTTTTAACCGGTTTGGCCACAAATCCCTTCGAACAAAAATACTTTCGATTAGAAAACCAAGTAAATTCATTTGGTAAAATCGATCTATTCAAGAATTTTATCTTAGAGGAAATGGGAATGTCGCGTAACTTACGAAAGGATGGTCTTTACGCCAAGCTTTTCTCTCTTCTGATAATCTGCCCAAAGCAATGCCAGACATAACTAAACGAAATCAACTTGCTAGAGTCGAATTTGCAGTACAAAAGAAGACAATAAAACGCAAAAACTAATCGGACGTTGTACAGAAGTCATGCAATCACTGTCAACTACGACTTTTTCTTTCGATGGATCACGTGACACACTTCGCGCGCTGCAAACATTGCAACCCATTCCTTTTCAGGTCAGCGGATTCGTTTTCTGTAAAGCCTTCCGTAAAAATAGTTTTCTTCTTTCAGAATGTTTAATCTGCTCTTTTAGCCTATTAAAATCACAGATATGGCAGAAAATGGGGTTAAAAGAGAGGTAAGTAAATGATCTTACTGAAAACGTCGAATGATTTGTATTTTTTCTCGTTACCGATCAGACAGTTTACTTGTTTTTCGTTGATGCCATCCTTATATTGTTTGTTCTTTGGCTAATCAATAACCTCACAGCAAAGTTTACCGAAAATTTTGGTCATTTGTTGTTCAGGGAATTAATTGATATCTTCAATTTCCATAGTTAAATTTCTATTCTTTTGGTTTTCATCGACATCTCGTCCCTTCAGAAAAAAAAAACTAACGTACTCCGATGTATGTGTTGTGGTTGTGCATTATTACCGGTTCAAATATATTTCAGACCAGTTTTGAGTTGTATTTTTCTTGGTTTGATGGATTAAGTAATGAGCGAAGAACAAAGGAAATAACACTTTAAACTGGTTTAAGTTAATAATAATAATAACACCTTTATTTAGACACGATCATGTTTAAAGCTGAACAGCTTGTGGGGTCGTGTGTAAATCTAAATAAACTCTAAATGAAATAAATACAAATGATGATGGTTTTTGAGGAGAGGAGAAAAACCTCTCGGAACAGAGTAGAGAACCAACAAACTCAATCCACTTATGACGCCGGGTCCGGGAATCGAACCCGGGACACATTGGTGGAAGGCGAGCGCTCTCACCACTACGACAACCCTGCTCCCCTGAGGTATTCTGATCTTTAATTTATTTTAATCAAAAACATGTGATCATGGATGAGTAACACTTCAATTGGCTGCTCGATATTATGTATATGTGGTTATTCCAGCTGGGGATGGGTAGTCAATGAGAAAATATTTTGGAAAACTATTCAATTAACTCTTTAACTCCCATGAGTGATCAAGAAAGAATTTCTCTTTAAAATATCAATTTAACATCAAGAAGACAATTCAATTATGGGATTATTAGTTGATTCAATACAAAATTCTCTTGTTTACAGAATGCTGCTTCAAGCTCTTCATCTTCGAACTCTCAGTCACCTACTTCTCCAACGACTCCAGCCGTTAAGAAAAAAAAACCTGAAGATTTCAAGTTTGGAAAGGTTCTTGGTGAAGGGTCATTTTCAACTGTAAGTTTATCAAAAACCTTTGTGAAAGTTTTGAGCTTCTTCCCTCTGCTTGAAAAATCACAGTTACATTTAAGTTGGGAGGAATCTTGAATGGTGCAAATGTGATATTTTTGGCACAAATAGAAAGCAAGCTTCTAGTGCATAACTTCACAAACAACAGTGACATGTAGGATAAATATAGCAATTTTCAGTTTCGAATTTTGTTCTTTTCGTGATCAGTTTTTTTAAAAAGCAAATACCACTCTTTTGTTATTTAAAACTTGAAATTTCACTTTTTTATTCCAGTAGACCTCTTTAACTTGTATGATTTGTTGTGACAGGTATATGTTGTGCGAGAAATAAGTACAGGAAAAGAATATGCCAGTAAGTTTTATTATTCCTTGAAATTTTTGTGTTCTTTGAAGCCTGGTTTTCACTAGCAGTGCAAATGCAAGCACAATCACAAGTGTAACAGCTCTGATTCATAGTGAAAACAGCCTAGATACAAGCAAAAGGATCAGCATTTTCTCTTTATCTTTTATCTGAACCTGTCCTTGTATCAAGGTCATTTTGACAGTGGAGTAAGAACTGTAGTTATGCTTGCTGTTTGGCTTGTATTTGTCCTTGTATCACTACTGAAAACCAGGCTTCAATTTGCTGTGATGACAAATTTTGTTTTTCCTCTTGTCTTTTCCAAAGTGTACCATGATTTATAGTTTGAATTTACATTCTGAAAATTTTTCCTCTCAGTGAAAGTTCTGGAGAAAAGGCACATGATACGAGAAAAAAAAGTGCAATATGTGTCAAGAGAGAAAGAGGTGCTGAGTAGACTTAACCATCCATTCTTTGTTAGACTATATTTTACATTTCAAGATAAAGAGAAACTTTGTATCCTTTTCATTCAAGACTGCTGAACATAGATATAACTTACAACTTAACATAGAGTGTTAGATTTAATTAATACAAAAATTTCCTTGGAAAGTAGCAGAAGTTTCTTTTCCACAGTTGACATTTTGGGATCCATGCCAGTATCTGAACAAATGGACACCCACTCCTCCCCTAACACAACCACAGTCAACTGATAACAACTCAGGGTCAATGTTGGATTAGGAGAGGGGTGGGTGTGCAGTTTTGCAGATACTTGCATTGATCCACATTTTGTATAGCTCTTGGCCATCTTTTTTCGATCTAAACTCATGTTGGAAGGTGTTATCTACGTTCAATGGCACATTGCAGGCTACAATGTGGATGTTCAAGGCTCTATAGCATAATAAAGCCATGCTAAGACAGCTCATAAATCACTTGCCTTCTGCTATGATTTAGGAGCTTCCCAAGTGGCTTTATCACATCATAGAGCCTGAAAAAATTGTGCTCTATTGCTTTTAAGACATAACTAGGTATATGCGGGCTTGATAACCTGATAAAACATCTGTTTGGAAACAGAATTGACCAATTATGTTATGCATACTGTGTTTATGTTCCAATTGTAATAAGTACTTTTTGATAAATTGGAAGCAAAAATCCACATGATTATTGTTGGTGAATATATTTGAAGTTAAAAATCCTATGTCATTTTCCTTAGCTTTGGCCTCCACAGATTTTGGTCTAAGCTATGCCAAGAAAGGAGAGCTGTTACCTTATATTATAAAGGTAATTACATTTATTTACCAACATTTACTACATGTACTTCTTGCTCCTTGGGAATAATTTATGTTTACAAGGCAAGGAAATCTGTGATTATAAGGACTCTTTGGACCAAGAGACAGGGCTTGATGGTAATTATTATTTTCAATTTTCTTTGCAGCATTTAGACCTTTTATCACTTATATCCAGAAATGCACACGATAACAAAAATGGCAGATTTGATGAAATTTTGTGAAACCAAGTGAATCTTCATATGGATGTGACGATTTTGATGAATTTAAGACAAATTTGTCAATTGAAAGTGTAATCAGCTTGTTGGACTTGACAATTTTGATGAAATTTCGTCACATCTGCCATTTTCGTAACTGCTTGCATTTCTCGACTTTTTATTCAGTGAAGTCCATTCAACATGATTCTTGATAATAGACTTTGTCTTTGTCACCAACATGTTACCCGTGATGGACAAGCATTCCACCAAAATCATATTTATGTGTAACCTTGAAGAGGTTTTCTTCCCTTGGATGATTTTGTTTTTACTGTGCTATAGTATTATGAATACTGATTCTTTATTATAATTCAATGGTATCATGATTATAAATATTATTTAATACTGAATGGATAAAACAAATTTTCTGCAGCTGGGCTCCTTTGACCTCACATGTACAAGATTTTATTCTGCTGAAGTTGTATCAGCCTTGGAACATCTTCATGGATTAGGAATTATTCACAGGTACTATCTTTATAGCTGCTAACAGAGAAAATTAAATATCAAATTATCAAGTTATTAAAATGTGAAAAACCTTTCTTCTGGTTTAAAGGGTCAATAGGAGTTTTCTTTTAGCTCTACAGCTCTGTAGATTATATTCACTGAAAATGTGATTATAATATTTGTCTTGGTGTATGGTAACTAGGGAATTAAAACCAGAAAATATTCTTTTGGACACAGACATGCACATAAAGATCACTGAATATCAAATTATCAAGTTATTAAAATATAGAAAACCTTTCTTCTGGTTGAAAGAGTCAAAAGGAGTTTTCTTTCAGCTGTACAGCTCTGTAGATTATATTCACTGAAAATGTGATTATAAACAATTATTCGATGAGGTTTTTGTGATATCCCGAATAGTCAAGGTCGAGGTAAGTATCAGCTGAAGCCGAAGGCTGAGGCTGATAACACTAACCGAGACCTTGATTATTCTGGATATCACAAAAACCGAATCTAATAATTGTTTTATTATACATTGTTTTAAAGAAAATAACGCAAAAACGCATTATCGCAGCAAACACAGTTTATTTTCAAACACAGTTTATTTCCAAACACTTAAAAATTAATGTACAACTGCAGCTGTGTGGTAAACAAATTTTTGCTTGCATGGGCTAATTCCTTTTTGTTGTGTGGCTCCTGGATTTTTTTCTCTTTAAGGTACTTGTAGAACAGTTCCTTCGCCACTTTTGTCGATCTTTTAGCATTTTCCAAATCTTTATCTTCAAGTTATTTCTCAATTTCTCACTGGGTCGATCAAGTGAATCGAGAAGCCATTCTTACTTCGCTGTTCGTGAAGTTGACATTGCTCCACCGGAAATGATGCATTGCATGCACAACCTACAGATTATTCACTAATATGTAGGTACAGATTAGTGAATAATCTGTAGGTTGCCCTATTTCCCAGAATTAGCTGTGGGCATTTAGCCAATGAGAAGACAGATGGTGACTACAATGTATAATTAATTTGTCTTCTTTTATGGTAACTAGGGACTTAAAACCAGAAAATATTCTTTTGGATGCAGACATGCACATAAAGATCACTGACTTTGGTACAGCTAAGATTGTGACTGATGGTGAAGTCAATGAGAAAGGTAGTAACTTTTGTTTATTTCTCTGGCCACACAGCAACCTTTTTTTATGTTAAGTTCCTGCTTCTATGACATGAAGTTACAATTATGTTTTTTACTATAACAGCAGGGACATGTTACACATGTGCAATTGTTAATGTTCAAAGAGTGTATACAAAGAAAATACAAGTGGCTAGTTGGATATCCCATGGTATGTAATGTTACAGATGAAGTAAAGTGGCAAACATGATTAATGCCATGAATGCGCTAACTTCATCTGGGGTGGCTGTGAACTGGCTTCTTATTTTTTATGGTCTTGGCAACAGTTTGAAGCTCTTTTAAATTGTGTATCAACTTAAAGAAATAGCATAGAATGCTTTTCCAATAAGTTTGTTAAAAGCGGCAGAAACCAAATTTCAGCAGGAATAAGATGGCAAGGCTAAGATGTACATGTATGGTTATACTGTCATACATGGAAAATGCAACAGCCATCTTGTGATTGGATTAGTTGTGATATTTTCTTATACATACCGAGCTGGTGAAAACCTCTGAGAAAATGAAAACAAAAGTCATTGTGATTATTGTATCCCTTCCATTGAAACAACTTGATTACTGCTTGTTCACTTGGGGTAACACCAGGAAGTTCTGTGAAACCTTTTGAATGAATCCCCTGCAGGGATAAACAAAACAGTTATTAAAATTGAATTGTTGCACAGGGAGAAATTCATTTGTTGGAACTGCACAATATGTTTCACCTGAGCTTTTAACAGACAAAAGAGCAGCTAAAAGGTGAGAAAAACAAACCTTTTGCAATAGAATGACTATTAGGCAAATGATATGATCATAATTTAACAAAATCTTTGACACTACTACCACATCAATGATAGTTTTATTAATTTTCTTTCAAAATAGTGACAATTCTCATTTCTGTTATGAACAAACAGTCAAACAGACAAGCAGTAGGTTTTAAATACAAGTTCAGAAAAGAAAAGTGTTGTAGTGTTATACAAAATCTTTAAATTCTTATAACTTAGCACTACATTAAAAACTAATTAGTGCTAAGTCAGCCTGAAAATTGAATTGAAAACATGTCTACTGTAACATTCATTTGAGTGCACTGAGTGAAATTAATTTTTTATTCTTGCAGCTCTGACCTTTGGGCTTTGGGTTGTATTATTTATCAACTTCTATCTGGACTGCCACCATTCAGAGCTGTGTAATTATTTTATTTGGCTGTACATAAGTAACTATATGCCTTCCAACTCCAGAAGTGTCTGGCAAATAGTATGAAGAGTTTAATGTATTAAATGGTTGGCCTTTTCATCATCATCATCATCATCATCATCATCATCATCATCTTTATATGCCTTATTTTAACAATAAAAAATATTTAATTACAGCGATAACAGTTAGAAGGCGAGGAGGCCCAAGAAGCCACCAGGCTTATGGGAGAGCCACCTCACTTACAATAATAAATTAAGTAAAGAAAAAGTGCTCCGAATGTGCGGCTTGGCCAATTCAGTGAGTATTTAAGTAAAAACTCTTGCAATTTCGCTTTAAAGCTGAGAACGTTTGACGAACGAATGACTGAAACTGAAGGAGAGAGTTCCAAATTTTAGGACCTTGGTAGAGAATTGTAAACTGCTTGACATTTGTACGACACAAATGCGTTCGATAATTACTGGCTGTTCTGATACCATAGTTGTGAATTTGGCTATTAATACCTTATGAGAGTTTCAAGCTCTCTGACTTGAGAGCTGACCTAATCTTTTTCCATATTCAGTAATATTATTACAAAAAGATGCCTTTTCTAGGGCATAGCGAAGGGCGACCCGCAACCTGTGACCCATGACCCATGAACCCCACCTGCCCTATGTGAGATTTTTCTTTTGAAATCAACAACATACAAGCCTGGTGATTCAGGCTTTCCAAAGAGTACCATTTCATAGAATGGGTGCTGAAGTTCTGTGATACCTCCTTTGTAAAATCTTAGTTAAGCTCCTCTCTTCTCAAGTGTAGCATCCCCTTAAATTCCATGGGAGGGATGTGGGAATCTCCCCTTCTCTTTGTTTACATCTGTAATGCTGATACTGCTTCTTATTTTTTCTCCTCTGTAGAAATGAGTATCAGATATTTAAAAAGATTATCGCCCTTGAATATGAATTTCCAAGTGGTTTCCCTGAAGTTCCAAAGGGTCTTGTCCAGAGTTTATTGGTGAGTATGATTTTCATTACTTATTTGATGGATATCTGATAGTTCACTGATACCTCACAAAAGATTTCGGGTTCTGCTCCCACAGGGCATCATTTTGACTCGTAGGTCTGATTTTTGACAGTACTGTCCAATTTTGCACACTAGTATCTGACTTTGGACAGCGGTGTCAGATTTTAGACTCTAGTGTCTGATTTTCAACACTAGTGCTCAACTTTAGATAGCAGAGTTTAAAGTCAGACCCAAGTGTTGAAATTCAGACAGTAGTGTCTAACAAGGGACACAGGTGTCCAACATTTCTGTTACAATACCTACAGGAAACACCAAGGAGCATGGAACAGTGAATCCGAGGGGGCGGATCCAGGATTTTTTTGAGGAGGGGGGTGCACCACTAAAGAATGGTGTAACTGACTGGTGACCGGACATTAAACAAATTGTAATAGCAGAATACCACTTGTATTAGAAAGCTGCAGGTCATCTCAGGGGGGGGGGTGCACACCCCCTGCACCCTCCCCCTAGATCCCCCCCTGAATCCCCAGGAAAACCTGGCAAAATGCTGGAGATCACCTTAGCACTTTTTAACCTTCTAACACCCAGAAGTGATTAACATGTAACTTCTCCCCATAATATCCATACATGATCCAGTAAACAGGTCATGAGAATACTCAAAGTTATCAGGTAGAAGTTGTTACCTTGATTGAACACCAAATTCTCGTAACTAATTTAGAGGGGAGAATTAACAATCAGATCTTGGGAGTTAAAGGGTTAAAAGCAGTTTTTTTTAGGACATTATGCTTGTTGCACAAAAACGGCTCAGAATTTTTATCTGAGTTACCCTGTAATCCAAACCCTTTAACCTTTTATTAATGCGAGATACTGGATAAAGTGTACCTCATTCAACATTATCAAGGATCAAGGTGGTGTTTAGGACACCAGTGATCAGGTGATACTTGAATGTACATGTTGACAGAAGTCGCCATTACCTGGGTTTTGGCTGGATCAATTACAATTCTTCTTTTACATTGTTAATGACGATAGTATTCTTAAAACTATTTCATTGGAAAAATAGTTCAAGGTTCTGGATTGACCTTAGGTATTGGATCCAAAATTGAGGCTTGGCTGTGATGAGCAAGGAGGATTTCCTTCGTTGAAAAGTCACGAGTTTTATGAAGGTAAGAAAGAGCTTCGCTACCTATTAATTTGATCCCTTATGATTCCCAGGATCGCTCTCTCTTCCAAGATGTAAATTCCAAATCTCCTTACTGTCTGTCACATATTTCTTATAACGATTTTAGCTCTGAGAATGTGTTTTCTTTTAGGAATCGATTGGGAGAATTTGCCAAATGAGACACCTCCAGATCTATTACCCTATCTGCCGTCCACAAGCACAAACGAGGAAGGTCTTCGTAGCAAATTCAAGGTTAGAAGGCAACAGCGTTCAGAGTTAAAAATAGGCAGTCTAAGGCTGCATGTGGCTACTGATGTAGCACAGTTTTTATAGCTTTGAAAAGAACTAGAGGTTGTATATTGTAGTGTTGCAGAAGATTTTTATGTACATGCAACACTAATGGCCGACTTTGGATTTTGAATAATCTCCGTTTTTTTATTTTAGACACCAGTGGCCGATTTTTTATTTTAGAAACTAGTGGCCGATTTTGGAGTTGTTTTTCGTCTACCATAGTGCTCCGAAACAAACAACAAGTAGCACCGGGAAAATCGAGTCAAAGTGGGTTGAGATCGGAACTCTATTGTTACCATCACTCCCTTACTTATTTCGACGACATGATGTGGCTTTGCTTCCTATAAGAGTCAGTAGCCACAAAGATATGCATTTGTTAATTTGTGTAACCCTCTGGAATAACTTGTCGTATGGCTACCTGTTGTTATGTTTTATTTTGTGGATTTCCTTGCGTTTGAAACTTCTTGTTTCGATTTTCTCTGTTGTTCGAAGAAAGTCTTATTGAAGTACTTTTTTAACTCTTCCTGTTTAACAAGCGGGATCACTAATGTCAGAAAGGATTTTGATTGTTTTTTGCTTTCTTTTCGATACTAGCTGAGTCTTCATGACAGTGACAGTGACGAATTTGATGACCAGCTATTGGCAAGGTTTGGCCTGTCCGATGAAGCTCCACAGCCAGGTGGCCCTACGAACATTCTCAATCTTACGGAAAGCGAGAGAGAGGAGAAATTAGTGAAGCAGGAGAGAGAATCGCCATGGTGAGAGTTCCATTATGAGACTTAGTAGTCCTTAGCCCATTTGGTGAATTCTTCCCCCCTCCCCCCCACTGGTAATTGGTGTTTTATGTGGTTTCACTCCAAAAGGATAACAATGCCTGAACTTGTAATTCCCGATTTCAGGATATCATTTCTTTGGACTGTTTACCTTACACTTCCTATGATTTTAGCTCTGAGGACTGGTTTTTTCATCAAACAATAACCGTTCAGTGATATTTTTCCTTTTTCTCATTACCTCGCTGCTTAAAAGTGTGTCGATATTTTTAGGAGAAATTCTTATTTGGTCATTCCTGGGACTGTGGAAGTTTAACAATGCAGCGGGTGCCGAAGTTCAAACGTGCTGATTTGAAACACATTAAATTGTCAAAGAGTGTATCGACGAAGGTATTTTGGAGCTCAAAGCTTTCTTATAATAAATGATCGAGCTAAATATCTGGGTCGTGCACGAGCATTTGAAGCTGATACCTTCCGGTTTCCCGATCGGCTGCTGTACCATTTGAGGTACACAGGACTTGCAGGCTGGGAAGTTCAGTATTATTCATATTTTTTAATCTCTTGTAGGCATCAATTTGTTGGAAATAATCTCATTATCAAGATTGGTGTCGTTGACAAAAGAAAGGTAAGCTCGCGGGACAGTTTTTTTTTTATTTCAGTCATTTGACCCAAATAAACTTTGCGACTCCTTTGTATGACAACGTGTTGGTTATTTATTTTAAAAGGTTTCAGTTGAGCTTTGAAAGTCATCTGGGATGGCATTGAGTTTTGTTGCTTTTCTTTTGTCTGCACTGGTCCAGAACACTCACAAACAAACGCAAAGAGAGAAATCCGAGCAAATGGAGGCCACCTGCTCCGAGGCCTTCCTGTCGATTACGATATGCAATTTGGGCAAAATCGTTGTTCATTAGATTTAACGTAGCGCCCAACTTCTGAGTGTTTTGTCCCCTCTCGTCGCCTTTTTTCATTTCTTCGGTTTAGACATCTTCACTTCTTTTATCATTAACATTACTTTTTTCCTTTTATCAGGGTCTCTTCCCTCGCAAAAGAACACTGATTCTTACAGAGGGTCCGCGGCTGTATTATGTCGATGCCCAGGCAATGGTTCTGAAAGGGGAAATTCCATGGTAAATAGTCAAAGTTTTTGGATAGTTGGCTTAGTTTAGTGTATTTTCTGCACGATTCTCGCCGTAAAGAGCACTATTTAAGCAATAGTGAAAATCAGACCTGAAAAAATTCAGGCCTGTACGGGATTCGAACCACTGACCTCTGCGATACTAGTGCAGCGCTGTAGCAATTGAGCTGACAAGCCAACTGGGAGCAGGTCATCATATTAGTCCGACCCGTATAAACCCGTAAGATGATGAATCAAACACTACGAATAAAATCGTTAGTTTAGTGTATCAAAAAAGATGAGCAGAGAGTAAGTAGAATTACTTTTGAGATCTGGGAGTGAAAGGGTGAAGAGTAATTCATAGGAAACGACGAAAAGTGATCAAGAGTCGATAATTTATTGAATTTTCTTCGAATGTCTCACGCACAGAGGATCGTAAGAACGAGGTCACTGAACAAGTCAGTTTTGCTAATTAAGGAGGGAAGCTTTACATCCGGCCTCATTGAGTAGGGTCGGTGGGGTAACCTATCTAGTGTTGGTATTAGAAATGATCTTTATTGAGGATACCAACGTCACCAGAAGTGGTTTACGAAGGGTCCTCTCTATACAAGAAGTCTCATATTGAGACTGGTAAAGAGCCACAACTGAAAATGTCTGATTTTAATTGAAAGAAATGCGTGTATCGTTTGTAGGACAAAGGATCTCAGACCAGAAGCTAAGAACTTCAACGTTTTCTTCGTCCATACGGTAAGCCATGCTTCCTTTTGCACTAAATTAGCCAGTTCCCGAACTGGAATCTCTGAAGTCTCTAGAGCTCTTTTCATCAGGGCGTGTTAACGTTACAACCTCGCGATCTTTTTTTTTTTTTTTTTATGATTCAGAGTGAGAGTAGACAGTGGGGGGAGGGGGCGAGGAGAGGCGATTTCCACTCCCCCACCTCCTCCGCTTTCCTTCCTTTTGATCGCCTCTCACCTTCTTGGTAGAACTTTCTTTCTCTCTCCTGCCATCCGCTGCTGTCTAAATCAAAGATGGTATCTGTAATTTCTCGAAGAGAATACTTAGTACTTGCTCGGTAAAATTACGCCTGCTCTGCGGGCTAGAATCTCTTTCAAGACTAACGAACGTAAACAATTCATTTTCAGCCAAAACGTATTTATTACTTGGAGGATCACACGGGATACGCCATGGATTGGGTAAAAAAGATCGAAGACGTCCATCGCGTTTACTTCGGAGATACAACACAACTCTGAGTTAGTACATTATGAAAGACGAACAATCTGAACTCCTTTTCAGAGCGGTTTTCCAGTGACTATCGAATCATATTAAAAACTATCTTTAAGTAGTTGTTTGAGCCAATCAGAATGCAAGATTTTTTTTTTTTTTGGTTTCCTCGTTATGTTTCTCACGTGACTCAAGTTTTCGCCCTTGGCACCATGCAGTTACTCTACTTTCCCGCTACCTTGCCTCTTGATTACCGACTCGTTTTGTGACTGCTTTAGCCTAAAATCGATTCCACCCGCTGTTCGTTGAATGAGCCCACGCTCCTCCGAGATTGAGAAATCGTCAGAAATTGAACTTAGTTTTTAAAGTTTCAGAGATGCCTATTAGAAAACCACTTTGTTAAACTCCTACTGACATTTACTACAGGTCGATTTAGAAAGACTTGTTGACATTGTAAAGAAGTCTCATGGTCTGATTATCGACTATTCTCCAAACGCTTGTAAAATAATAAACACTATTAACTGCCGTATTGTGCCTTCACCAGAAAAGTGGTTCATATTAATGATGTTATCATTTCACTGAAGTTTATTTCGTTCTCCTGTTGAAGTGATTTCCTCAACAGCCTTATTTGAATATGTACTCTAAGGTACAGTACTCTTACGTGACAACCATCGCGTGACTATCTGAATAACGGCTGTGCGGGAATCTACTACTTGAGTAAAAACTTATCTGTATACAATTAAGATTACCTAGGTTAATTCATTTATTGATTTTGATCCATGTGTTCTCTGCATACATAAATCAGCGCTACTATGGAGAATATTGAAGATTGTAAAACTACAAAAAATAAATTAAGTCTTGAATAGGTAATAAACGATTTGAAACTATGGAATTCATGTTGACGGTGTATTATTTTGAGTTTTAATTTCTTTATCTTCGTGGCTGATAAATCTATCCTGCTAGAGAAAGCCACAGACAAACCACGCTGTAAAGAAAAATATCCGTTTCACGGTCTCTGCAAATGTGTCCGAAGTCAGAGAAAACCATCCGAAAGCCGACGGACGACACGGAAGTGTCTCTGAAAAAGTCTCGTATTGGACTCTGGAGCGTCCGCAATTGGACGGAAGAAGTCGAGAACGGACAGAAGAGTAAAAAATCGGACGATAGCGTTCAAAATCGTACGAAAGTGTCCAAAATCAAATGATAGCGTCCCAAATTTGACTGGCGTGTTCGAAAACGTACGAAAGTGTTTGAAGTCGTATGAGAGTGAACGAAAGCGGGTGATGGAGTCAGGAATTGGAAGTGTATGAATTCGGACAGAAGTGCCCGAAAACAGACGGATGTCAGCCAACATGTTTCGAATGATTTTCATTCAAATGAGTTTTCCCTTGTTGCATTTAAATTATTTACAGCAACAGCTTTCCTCGAACTGGAAGGTTAACGGAAGATTACCCACATGACATCCATTCACCCAGCCCAATCTTCTCATTCGCCTTTTGACCTCCCACTTTCTCCTCCCCACTTAGTACTATTTTGGCAGAAAGTGAACATGGCGATTTGTAACAGATGGTGAGACAGCTGATCGTGTAAAGTCCCACAAAACAGAGATAAAGGCGATAACAATACACAATGCCACAAACACTGAGAAAGCGGTGGTTCTAAAAGGTAATTTTCACCAACTGACGTCAAATGGAGGCGGTTTTGTTTGATGCGAGAACTGAAACACAAGGCGATTTAGCGGCGAAGAGAATTTCTCCTTCAAAGGGCATATTGAAAATTGAGTCCTTATGTAACGCGCAAAATTACAGTTTGCGTTATTTGGCGAGGCAATTAACTCGTGTTGGGGGAACAGAACAGCTGTTTGAGGGAGTTTGTTTAATGTAATCGTGAAAGTTAATGGTTCACAGTGTAGCGTTCATAATTTGAGTGTGGTTGGACAATTTATGCTGACTCAAGGCTTGTGATAAACAGTCGGTATTGTATTACAGTTGATGAAACTTTGATTTACTCATAATCAGCATTTTCACAACTGCACGAAACAAGAGAGCTTGCCTTGCTGTACCAAAGGCCTGAGTGAATCTTAAATTTCTTTTTGCTGGCAGTCGATCGCCACTTGAGAGGCTAATTTGGATTACTACATTTGAAACAATTTCATCCACCAAAATGGCCACAAGATCGACTGATTCCAGACCTTTAATGGAGATGGACCCATCGACGAGCGAGGAAATCGAAGGAGATGCAGTTACAGAGGGAAAATTATCGACTGGTGACGCAAGATCTCTCTTTGAGGACAGCAAAGAGCCACCGGAATCTGCAGAAAAACAACCACTCTCTTTGAAACGACGGATCGCCTTGGTAGGCGCATTGTTGCTGTGTGTGTTTACTATATTTGCATTTGCTTTTCTTCTTCCTTGTCATAAACCAAAATGCCAGAAGCTTCCAGTGTGTCCTGGTAAGGGGCACCTGACAGCAGGGAACTGGACTCACCAATTTGGTGGTATTATTCCAATAGTGACTTCCCTGTTAGATGTGACAGGAGATGGTAGGCCAGACGTTATAGTTGAATTTGACATTGAGGCATTGGAGTCAACAGACTCTTCATTCTTGAGCCAACTTTGCCAGAACAAAGATTGTCGTGGCAGTGGTATTTTGGCTCTGCATGGATCATGTGGTAATAGTCTATGGGTTTTCAGTCGCAATTCCTCCTTGGGGCTTTTGGCCTGTGAAAAGATTACTGAGGGCATTGATGTAAAAAACAACCAACATTGTGTGTTCATTGAAGAGAAAACAAATATTGTGCTTTTCAACTCTAAAAATGGAACCACCAAGTGGAAATCATCACTTGGTGGTAAAGTTAGTTCATTTAAGTTTGTCAATGATGTTGATGGTGATGGCCAAAAAGACATTGTTTTGATTAATAAACTTTCTATTGGTGGCAGTGAAGGTTATATCAATTTGGTATCTGGCAGATTAGGGAAAGTTCTTGGCAACTCTATACCTTTATCTGGAGGTCATGATAGTAACAGTATCCTTGCTACTCACAGTCTCCCAAGTAAACAACAGTTTGTTATCGTTTGTACGTTATCTCATGAGAAGAACACAACATCTCTTTGGGCAATGTCAGTCCATGATTTATTTGAGAAAGTAACACAGCCAACAAAATCAATTCCAGGCGAAGCGTGGGGAAAACATATACCAAACCCACACACCGGTTTTATCAGTATCTTAAATGATGCTGTTATCTTAATCCAACCGTTGCTAACAGATCTGGATGGTGATGGGGTGAAAGATATTGTTTTTGTAACTAAGGAGAATGACACCTCTCTTTTGGCCATGAATGGCACTGATTTGGCCATTGTGTGGAAAATGGTAGTACCTTCCGATGCAGTTATTCACAAGTTAGTGTTTCAATTTTTTAACTCAACTGTTGCTTAAAATGAATATAGCCTGATATAAATGTTTTTGAAAAAAGAAAATTTAGATATGAATGGAAAGGGGCCATTGTGTTGTGTTTTTGGGGTCTTGCCTGAAAGTAACAAAATTACCCTCACTGATGTTGTTTCTAGAAACTCAGATTCTGCTCTAAATTACTTCTCCTCGCACTTGCAAGCTGACTACAGCTGCAGTAGTCATCACAAATCCTTGTTTAGAATTCTGTGGCCAACAAAGTAAGTGTAGCAAGTGAGGTGGTTCACTGTTGTTGTCCTCTTTAGGTAACATTCTCCTTCAGCAGTTTGTTAGGTAGTATGTATTTCAACTCCTTGTTCAAAGGACTGTAAGAATAAAGCATCCTCCCCCAAGATTTCAACTCAATGACCCTTTCCAGTGTTTGAAGTTGAATATTTCAAACTAAAGGTTAGTATACCTATTGTTTGATTATCACACCAGAAATGTTTGATCCAAGTTTCTTGTTCTTCTTTATGTCAGGCTGTTTTCAACTCCGTACTCCGTTAAAGAAAATTTGACAGACATTGGATTGTTTGTTGCTCATACAAACAGTTCCTCCTCATTGCTAGTAATCGATGGTCGCACTGGGGGTATAAGTTGGTCTTTTCATAGCAGGACTGGTCTTGCTGTGGCACCAGTTCCTGTGCCAGGACTTAGTGGCGCTCAACATGCTTTTGTGATATGGCTGCCAAAGCTGGAGGCTGTGACACTGATTTCTAAGTCTAGAAAATCCAGAGACATTTCACATCAAGTAAATGGTTGGGTTCCTGGTGATGTCAGTCAAATGATGAATGATGAATATGCAAGACCACAACCAAGAAAGTTGTTTTCAGTTAGTTCAGATTTAGTTAAGAAAAACAAAAAAGATAGGTTTTCTTCCAAATCAGCTCTTTTATCTGCAGCAGAGATTGATAATGAAGACTTTGCTAATTAGAATAAATTTGATAGCAAAGATGAATTCGAAAAAGTAAGAAGTGATGACCTGGCCTTAAAGGAATTTGAACTTTATCTTTTAAAAGACAGTTTAGAAAAAATTGAAGATACCAGTTTCATTGAAAAAGAGCCTTTCAGCTCAACGAGGGAAGAAAAAAGAGCTGACACAAAATGGCTTGGAATAAGGAAGGAGAAGTCTTCTATTATACATAAGGGAGGTTTCCACCAGCATGCAATTCCATTTAGGAAGGAGCAGAGACATAAAGAAGGTGTCAGTGGAGAGGAGAATATTGAATTCAAGGCAGATCCACATGTGCAGAATGATCTGGAGGAGCAACTGAGTGGTCTGACAAATCATAGGAAAAAGCAGACTGTATTGGAGAATCATCGAGCAAGGGCACCCCTTGCATCAGCATCAAAAGACTCCTCATTCCTGCAACCCAGACAGGAATTTCTTAAGGAATTCCCTGGGAGGCAGACAAGGATAGAAAACCAAGACAACGAAGTCAACATTTTGCCAGGGAAATCCACTGTCACCCAGCAATTTCACTCTGAATATCACAGAAAAGAGTATCCAAAGTTGGAAACAGTTAAAAAGCCATCTTATCATAAGCGATCAGTGACTTCTTTACCCAAGTGTGCCAAGAGTTTTGGTGACGTTGCAGATGCTTACGTGGCTGTTCTTTTGGTGAAGAGTGTTGATGGAAGGCAGCTGTTAGCTGACATAACAGAGGAAGATCCTCTACATTTGGGTAAGTGGTGGGCCAGAGGTCTGGGGAAGAGGGGCATGGAGTGGAGGGTTTCTCCCTTTTGTTAAAATTACATTTATTGGAAGTTCTAACACCCTGTACATGGCCATACAGCCTTGTTTTGAGTTATTTTACTTCTACAGGCTTCTAACCTCCCCTCCTTGTCCCACCCCCTCCTCCCCTCTCCTTCCTTTGGACCATCTATAAAAATCAAAGATGGCAGCTATGATTTTCACCCAGAAAATACTGAGTGTTGCTCTTTAAAATTACACCTGCCCTGTAGGTTTAGAATATTACTAAATGATGGAACAGAAAAACAAAAGTTGTCATTTTCTTATTTACTTAAAAAAAAGGGTATGAGCAAATAATGCAGATTGATGAATACACAAGGTTGATGTCTACAATATTGTTATCGGCGAACCTTATGCATGACTACACTTGTCTGATGATGTCAATTCTGGGCTCTGCCTGTTCTATTTCAGGTCCTGAGGACTACAAAAGCTTGTTTAAGACCAGGGAAGGTGACAAGCAAGCGAAATCTTGTTTACGATTGGTTCCCCATATTGTTTCACAGCCTGTGATTAGAGATTCTTATGAAGGCTTGGATCTAGTATATACAGTCAACTTTGTTTCCAAGGATCACTCGTTGCAAGTGACAGAAATAAGAAAAATGCCAATGGAGGCAGTCTTTGAACTCCTTGAAGGTATCTCGAAAGATACCAGACAGCAGCAGACAAAAAGAGGGATTGATTCTTTCAGGTTTCCAAGTGTTTGGAAATAATTTACTCCCAAATTGAAGAGTTTTGCTCAAAATAGATTGCAGGATATGTTAATTAATGATGGTGTGATAATTAGATTGTAATCATAAATATGTTTTTCATGATAGCAATGGAGACTGCTTTGCACATTGGAATTATTATTTTGATATTACTCATTAAAATCTGGAATAGAATGAATTGTGATATTTATTATAAGTTACAAGTCATTAAATTATTTATCCCATGACGACAGGGAGAAGTAGGGAATTTCTGTACAACTGATATATATGCTATAGAATTTAGGTTTAAATTAATTCAAACAAGTTTAACCTGTATTTTTCATCATCTACAATTATGATGATGTACTGTATATGGAATAAAAGGAGTATATATATAAAGGAAACCAGACCCTTTCTTAGTTGTTCAATACCCTCTCTTAGTTAAGTTGTGCTCAACTTTAGGAGTCCTTCATGTTATTACACTAAATCTCCCACCAAATTATTTGTAAGACCTTACACTCTGAAAGGACTTCTGGCTGGTCCTCTGTGAAAACACCCACTCCAGAAAATATGGGAAGTGGACATTCCACAAGGAGACTCTTCTTGTCCACTATTTCCAGGTGGAATTGGAATTTAAAATGTTGGTTTTAGTGGAGGAAAGCAAACCAGAGGACCAGGAGATAAACCCTGTGAGCAAGGACAAGAACCAACCACAAACTCAGCACATGTGCAGAGATGTAGATAATAGCCGGAAGCCGGGAAAATTACCCAGCTGTGAAAGCGATTTTTCCGGCTGTAAAGCACCACTTCTTTCTCCAAAATGTTTTTAAATGTTGTCAGAAGATTGAACTGAAAGGATTGTAAACACTCCATTTTGTGCAATGATTGCATCATCACATCGGGTAGAGCTGAATAATGAAATGCTACGTCAGAGGGTACGCGGTCAACAATGCGGGCTCTAAAGTCCTTGGTCTAAAATTGAGCGAAATTAGTGGAAAATAGTAAGGGCTGCCTTTTAAAACCTAGGAACTCTGTTTTTGCAGAAGGGACTTTCCTATTTCCAGAGGTTTTAAGGAGAAAATTAATTTTTGAAAATTTTTAGGGGGTGTACCAAGTTTTTGAAGGTTGTTCTGTAAAAGAAAAGCGGCAACGAAAACGACGCCTCAAAGCAACAGAATAGGATATCAACCATGTTTCTGCGGCGAAACCTAACGTATGCGTATACGTTATTCAGCTCTGTCATCATCGCATCATCCATTTTTGCAGGCTCGATGGCCAGCGGTATTTGTACTTCATGTATGCGAAATAATGAATAAAAACACCCAAACACCCAAGCTCAAATACCCACCTATCATTACTAGATTCCCGCCTGTTAAAAACTTTAGCTACATCCCAGCACGTGACACCAGTTATAGGAATCAAACCTGGGCCACAGCACTGGAAGGCAAGTATTCTCACCACTGTACCATTCTCACTCACCTAAAGGGTTTTTAATTAATAAATGTAGTGCAGAAGAGCAATGTAAATTAACAAAAGAAAATTCTCCACTTTTGAATAAAAACTATTCAAGGTTATTGAAATTTGGAAAAAGATTTGTGAGTGGTAGCCAGAGAAATCTCTCCCCAGTTTTCCAAAGTATCAAAACACACAAAGTACTGGAAATAATTATGGCAAGAGAAATACATGAGTGACTAACACTGTGTGGTGGAAGACTGAACCCAGTCTTGATGGTTAAAATACTGAATTCTTGATGATAAGTTCTGCATTCAAGACTTGGTTAGGGTGACTGTTGGGGTCTGTATGGTGTCCCTTTGCAAGACTCTCCACTCTTAGAGAGTGCTTGTCTTCACCCAGGGGGATGAACAGGTTAATGATCTGATTGTGACATGAATAGCACTTAAAATGTAAATTCAACTTTATTTGAACTGGTAAAAAGAAATAAACCACAATGCAAACAGATTTCAAGGACGACTAAAAGATATTTTTGAAAGTAACCCACCTCATTACATCTTATTTTTTGGTTTCTTTTTATAATAAATTGTTCATTGAGATTGATATATCCTTTAGCCTGCCATACAACCCCTATCACTGGAGGTCTGAATGATTTTCATGGCATTTATGCACAATGATATTGTTCATTAAAAGGTCTCCCCACGCATTTTTTACACCACAATTTTCATGAATCTCTGCCCCTTTCTTGTTGTTTTCATTGATTTTTCTTTTGATTTGAGTGTTTTGGAAATTATCTGTGATAAAAATTTGCCAAGCAGTCTGCACCTTGAGCAAGGCTTGGTAGTTCAATTTGGTATTGTGACACATACAGTGTGCATGCATGGGGCCTATTATAAAAATTAATGTACCAGGCACCCAACATGTTTTCAACAATCCATGCACAGAGAAAAGGAAGCCTTGATGCATCTGGGTTCCAGTAATCCTTTCACTTACAAGATCTCAAGAGAAATTCTTCTTACTGTCTGCTAGATGGTTCTTAAGATGTTAGTTCGGAAAATGTGGTGTTGGATTGACTTGTAATCCCCTAATTGATATTTTCCTTTCTTCTTGTCCCTTGGCTGATTGGTATTTTATTGAAATTATAAGGAGAAATTCTGTCTTGATCACTTTTGGGAGTTGAAAGGGTCAAGAGGTAACAGTCTTGTTGTAATCTCGCATCTTCAAAACTGTGCTTAACACAAATAAATTATAATCACTGTGTAATACACCCAGAAAATTTCTGCCTTGATAGGGGCATGAATCACATTTTTCTCTACTTTGAGACCTGCTCCAAAAAAAAAAAAAAAGACCAGTGTCTGGTACTTAAAGGTGATATGCATACAGTGTGATCTTCACTCTTTGAATGATGTTGGCATGGCAATGTCACAATTTATACATTGTTTGAACACCATCATAAATAAATGTCAATTACCCACTGCCCCATGAGGTCACATGGTCAATATTGACCTCTTCAAAACTGACTCCAACCCTGAACATTTAATACCTCATCATGATCTTTTCTAAAACACTTTACACCATATGAATACTATCACCATAAAAGTACCACACTGTATTAACCACAATACCAGTTATAAAGCTTCCAGCCACAGTAAACCAAGGCACAACCTGCCACCACATTGTGAAGTCTTTTGCGGTACTTGTCATCTTTTCTTACCAGTACAATAGGAGATGATGATGTTAGGCTACTAAGAGGTAGCTTTGCCAACTTTCTAGTGTCATATTCAACTTGATACTGGCAGCAAGGATCGAACTGCCATGATACACCATACAGTGCAGCACAGAAAACACTTACTCCACCAAATACATAACAGGTGGGCTCTTTGACAATTCTGGGAAGCACCCAAGGACTAATGAAACAACCAAGTCCACAAATAACAGCTGTTTTGTGTAAACAATTCCCAACTTGGATCCAGCGAGCTGTTTCTTCGCCAATCATTGTTGGTTCAATAACAATCATGCCACACTGTGATTCCAGGGCTCTCTCCAAATCTGCCTCAAACTGTTCACGTGCATCCTCAGAATCATAGATTTCATGTATGATGACACACCCTCCTTCAACCATATCGTCACTACATGTGAGAAGATAAGAATGAATTTTACCAGAGGCGTCTGATTTATTATTAAAATAAAAATTTGTTAGTCCTTTCAGAAATTAATTTTTGGACAGGCTTATTCTTAACTAACTTACTTTCTCGTAACCTTCAAGTTGAACAAATTGGGAATTTTTACAAGGCTCTAGAGTTACCCAAGCTACCCAAACAGATTTGTTGATTATCAAGGCTACTTTCTATATATTGTATTGTTTCATTTATGTGCTATATCTCCTTATAGAAAAATGTAAGTTTCTCTGTTTACACCTGCTTTTGCTCATAATGACCACAGGCATGATAGGTAGTGAAAAAGTCCATAAGCTATCATTAACAGCTATTAGAAAACATTAAGTTATGTCTGTTTTGTAAGAAGCTTATTACATTTTTGTGAAACTTTGAATGTTTAGATATCAGATACTTCTGTGAAATATCTGGTATTTACATTACGCTAGATATCGTTCTACATACTTGATATTAAATTGTGCCGAACGAACTTAATATTAAATTCTGTTGATTTCAGGTCAAAGTACACACGAAACACATACATGTACAGCTTCGAGAATTTTGCAATAATAAAGGAAAAAATGGGAGGAATTTGTAGAAAAATTTACATGGAATAAAGAGAGGGATCTTTCGTATTACCTACAGATGTTCACCAACATCGATACTGAAATTAAATTTGCAACGTTGGCAGCTACAAATTACAAAATGACTTAATTAATTACCTCGATAGACGATCAGTTTAAATATTGCAAATGGACGTTCACAAGATTGACTCTAACTTTGCTAGCTGCCTAAGTTGAGACTTCACTTGCATTTGTAAGAGAGCTAACTCTCAGAGAATCTAAGAGCACACGCGAAAGAGAATATGATCAGGTTTCAAGACAACAGCCAGATATATTACCTCATTCCGTCCGCCATATTGGTGTGAAACTGGGACATGATCCAAGTATTGACGAGAGTTCCTGGGTTAGAGGAACCATATCGAGGCTTGTTATTTAAAGTAAATGACGTAATTGTTGTAGAGGGATTCCAAGATGGCTTCCCTGTTCGGACCGAACCCTTTCTCAACACCAGTAGGACAAAGAATAGGTATTTCTCCAGCTAGAAGTTACTAATTTTGGGAAGTTTTGAAATGTTACACTCTTTTTCTTTGATAAAGAGAACTTTATTGTCCACGTAAAGTATTGAATGACATTTGAGCTGGATCAAATTCTTCGATCATACCTTCTGTGATCCTCATGTGTCGTATAAATTTTCAGATAAAGCCACAGATGGGAATTTGCCATCCGAAGACTGGGCAGCGAATATTGATATATGTGACATAATCAATGAGACCGAGGAAGGGTATGATAATTCCTATCATATAGTACTTCTCTTCTCAGCTGTTAAGTTGCTATTTTTGGAGTCTTAAATTGATAATTTCCCAACTTAATCTTCTTTAAGATTGTACATCCTCGTAACCATGCATAACCCCTTTGAATCGCATCTGTGCATACATGCTTAGCATTTAGTATTTCTATAAAGAGGATTTCAATTTAAGATCTTGATTTGTAAAAAATTTTGGTTTGACTAGTCCTAAAGATGCTGCTAAAGCCATCCGGAAGAGACTGGCTGGAAATAAAAACTTTAAGAGTGTTCTCTTGACTTTGACGGTGAGTGCTCTCTAAATAACTGAAATTTTGGAAGATATGTTGCAAGTGTTTTGTTGGTGAATAGAGTCATAATCTTACGTTCAATACACCCTCAAGTTTGTCTTTCTTTTCTTCGCACAAGCTGATTAATTAAGACCTTCCATAGAATACGTAATGTAATAGTTATAACTAAGTTAATATTACAGTAAAGGGTTTGAACCCAGGGGTAACATGTGAAAACAACAGAGTCAAGTGAACTATCCACATGACTCTGATGATGACTTCTGCACAGGTTGTCTAAACGTCAGTCACCACCACGGACAACACTACTTCTCTGGACTACACTCACCTGGACAATTGCACTACACTTTGATAAGTTAATATTTTGAGAAGTTCTTAAATTCAGTTCACTCTGAAAACTAGTGTTTATGAATAGAATATTTCTACTCAATAAGACATTTTCCTGTTGAAAGAATTCATGAACACTTATAAAGAGTGTCTTGGCTGATTGGTTTATTGTGTTTTTTCTTGTATGTTTAAAGTGGGTGGTTTAAGTCCCATGAGTGACCAACAAATAATTTCTCCTAACAATATCAATATGATTTTAAACTGACAAGTTATGAGAAAACATATATATATCAATCAGGGGATTATCAGTTGATATAAAGTCAAACTCTGCAAAGTGTCATCATAAGGATTGTAACTCAGACAGTAAGGGGAATTGTTAATGAGATCTTGAGAATTATACACCGAAAGAAAATATGGTGTCCAATTTGAATTGCTATTGTTCTGGACTCACTAGCCTGCTCTTCATGTGGAAACACAAAAGGATTAGTACATGTGTGAGAGGCTAGTGAGTCCAGAACAATGGCAACTCAAATTGGACGCCATATTTGCATTCGGTAGATAAGAGCTAAAGTTTGGGCTTGTTTTTTTTTTAATGATAATCCAGATGCCATTTCAGTCAGATAAGTTGATTATCCTAGAAAGCGTCTTTCAACTTGGATATTCCTTTCGGTTGCAGTATTTCATCATTCCTTTTTTTTCAGAATGGAATGCAGCTAATGTAGTAAACATGATACTTATCTCTTCAGTATCGATTCTTTTTAGCAGAAATGCTAAGCCTCTCTTGTTATAAATCTCTTTCAGGTCCTTGAGACTTGTGTTAAAAATTGTGGTCACAGATTCCATGTGCTTATCGCTAAAAAGGATTTCCTTGATGAACTTGTAAAAATTTTAGGTTCAAAGGTTAGTGTTTTGGTTGGATCAATCAGTTTGAAGTACCTATATTGATACACGTGTGTTAATTGAATTCAAAGAGTTCAGATTTCTCACTTCCTTAATCCATCAAATGCTAAGAGTGTCCAGCATCTAATTTCACCTTACAGTAATACTACCGACTCATTCATTTAGATCATAAGAATAAAGGAAATGATCACTAACCTTAGAAGTTTTGATTGTTAAACAAATTCTCCTTGTCAACACCTTAGGAAATGTATAAAGAACAGTAGGGAGAAAATGTATACTAATGTTAGGGTGTAAAGGGTTAATAACATGTCTTTTCTTCATTGGTATTTAGAATAATCCACCGCAGATTGTCCAGGATAAGATACTCTCTCTTATCCAAGACTGGGCCGATGCCTTCCGTGGGTCTCCTGAACTGACTAATGTGTTGGAGACTTATGAATCTCTCAGAGCACAAGGTTTGAAAACTTTGTTCAATTTTACCTCTTAAATTAAACAATAACAAACTTTAATAGAATCACTAAAAGCCTCTGGGCTTGATAAGAGCAGGGCTCGACAGTAATGGTTGCCAATTAGCCACAGACCAGTAGAAACTCAGTTTTGGCTAGTGGTTTTCGATTTCCACCTGCCAGTTTGGCTTGGAAATAAACTGAAATTGTTGTAACATCTAAGTTGTGGCTAGTAAGTTGAAAAGTTGAAGAGATGCCATTTTTTAAGAGTGCAATGCTCTTGATTTTTTAAATTTACATGCAGGAAGAACAATCAATGCATTTCAAGGGAATTGCCCGAGTGACATTTAAGCAGCCTCCATCCACAAATAAAAAGTTTCCTTCATCTTCCAGCTAAGAATAACTGTATAATAGGCTAGAATTCAGCAATGGGATCTACTGCTCCTCATATGTTCTGTAAAAGCAATGAGTGATGTATGTTCTTTGATGGCCATGCTCTTTCTAATATATTGAGTTGTGCGAGTCAAGACCAGAAGTTTTTTAGTTTAGGTCACTAACCAGTGATCAGAAATATTTGCCTGTGAAGTCAGATTTTGATTTCAACTTTTCTTTGCAACTGTAGGTTTGGAGTTCCCTGCCAAAAATCTAGACACCTTGTCCCCTATCTATACACCACAAAGGGTAAGTAGTGTTCACAACTGGGTGGTCACTCTCACCTTGATTTATTATTTTGCCATTTAATTACATTACAAGGCTGTGGTCTAGTAGCATCTGGTGGCCCCTGGCACCTTATTTTTGCTCTTAGGTGACTCAGGAATCTTAGTTTTTTCATAAAAAGCATGTACTGGGCACCCAGGATTGCACAGTTTCAGAGCACTGGGCTCCCTTCAATTTTTCTTAAAGTACAGCCTAGTATGATGTTCATATATTCACAGTCTTTGATTAATTCATCACTCACAGGTTTATTATAAGAGCAACAAAATGACTGACTCCCAGTTGGCTTGTTAGCTCAATTGGTCGAGCACTGCACCAGAATCACAGAGGTCACTGGTTCAACTCCTGTACAAGCTCTGAATTGTTTTCAAGGGTTATTTTCATTGCAGCTGCCTAAGTTGTGTTCATACATGTAACTGTTAATTATCACTCTCATCTTCATTAATTTTATTAATCCATCATCCAAATACATGATATTTAGATGTTCACAGTCATTGCTTATACCATTTCAGACTCAACCAGAACGACCAGCCCCAGCACCATCAAGGCCACCTCCCATTCAGGTAATTTTTTGCTTTCATTTTGGGCAAATGAAACTGGGATAAGCTTCTCTTGTCAGACTCAGTATACAGGACAACACTGACCAACCTATACCCCTATTTGATGCTCCCTGACATGTAAAAGAAGCCTCCATTTTAAAGTATTTTCTTCTATTGGTCACTCAATGCAAATCTGTTAATTAAGAGAGATTAATATGCTTTTCATTTCAAGTCAATATGTTGCACAATATGTTTGTCATGTACTTTATATCAGTTAGTTGCTCTCCTTTTTCAGCCTCCTGTGCCACTGCCCTTCCAATCTGTGCCTCCAATGCAAGCACCTAGTGGTCCTGTGGTTCCCACACCTGAGCAGCTTGGAAAAATACGCTCAGAACTTGACATTGTGAATGGAAATATTAATGTCATGTCAGAAATGTTAACAGAAATGACACCTGGACAGGAAGAAGCAGGAGATTTGCAGCTCTTGCAGGTAACACTTACAACTATAGTACATAATGTAGGAATCTCATATCTTTTGATCAAACACATCGATTAACAATCCCTTGTATAAAGGACAAACATTGTATAAAGGCATGATGTAGAGTAATCTGCTAGACTAAAAGGTTTAAAGGCTGATAGTTTCAAAAGAAACTGTTTGGGGCTGCGTCGGTGGGAGTAACGAAATAATTTGGATATATCAACAAAGTTGAAATGGTAAATTGGCCACGTTACGGTGGCCAATTTACCATATCAACTTTGTTGATATACCCAAAATAAAAGGTTTAAAGGTTGCAACTCAGATTCAGCTTGGTATCTTATGTTTTGACAGGAATTGAACAGAACTTGTCGTTCCATGCAGCAGCGAGTTCTCGAGCTGATTGAGAGGGTAGCAAATGAAGAAGTAGTTGGTAAGTTTTATCTGAGTTTTAAAATAATGTAATTCAGGAATAAAGAAAACATGTATAGCCTAATTTCTTAGTTCAAAGGTTAGTGCTTAGAGCCAAACTGGATCATAATTTTTTTTTTGGTCAAGAAGATAACCATGACTACTTTGTTCCTTCCCCACCTTGTAGCTGTTGTCAATGGCACCATCATGCATTGAATCAAATTTTAAGTCACTCTCTCTTATTCCTTCCACCCAGCAGTAGTTGCTGATGTGAGAAAAACATTTTTATTCAAAATGAAAGATTAGTAAGAGGAATTTTTTACAAATCTTTTTACGTTGTGCCTGGAAGACTTTCAAAGTTACAAAACAAGGTTGTTTCAAAGTGTTATAGCAGCATTTGATAGAATGCTATCTAAGGGTCTGGGTTAGGGCAAAAATTTCCAGTGACATGCATCTTTCTCTATTAGGTATGCTTTTGAGTGTCAATGATGATCTCAACAATGTGTTTATTCGATACGACCGATATGAGAGGTTCCGACAAGCAGTTCAGCAGCAGAGTCAGCCATCAGAAGCTCCTCCCGCACCCCCACGACCTGCTCCAGTGGAGCCTCTACCTGTTCAGACTGGCAGGGCAACAACAGCCTGGCCAGAAAATTCACACAGAGTAAGGGATATTCTCTTTAAACATCTTCTCTCAAATCATCATCTAGAGAGTGCCAATGAAATGAGAGCCACAGGGATTTGATGAACACAAATACAAATGAGTGGGGGTGGGGTGAAGATTGTTTCCAGTCCAACAAGCATTGAAAATTAGACTACCATTCACTCTCCCTCGTTCATGTATCATCTCACGTTCTTTCAAATGTTATTTTTGGGGCTTTAAGGACATTTAGCTTTCAGGTGAACATTGCAGTGTTATGACTGATGACTCAAGGTGAAATTTTTCATTTTTTGCGTATACTGTAGTTGCCGGGTACAATTGAACCATCTCAACCACAACTTCCTGTGGCGATACCAGCTCCAGCAGCAGCGGCACTGGTGGCACCAGTAGCACCAGCGGCACCAGCTTCAGCAGCGCCAGCACCAGCCGGGTAAGGCCTCGTACATACATTCTCTGAGAGACATGTTACATAGACATAGTGGCCTTGACCTGGTCATGTGGTTGTATTCTTTAGTAAGACACCGGGCACTGGTGTACATGTTGCTGTTTACTTATGAATAATTCTTCTTTTCTTGTTTCTCAGGGGTGACTCGCTGATTAGTTTTGATGATGACACACCAACTCCTTCCCAGGCTGCCTCAGTCAATAGCGTGACCTCTCAAGTGCAAGCCATGAGTAAGTCTTCACAGTGTCTTTGCTGTGTTCTAGCAGCTCATCTAATTATTGTTTTAAGAAGTTACTGCCATATACTGATGACATGTGACTAAGTGTGTTGCCAGTTAATCAGTAAGTTATGAATTTTTTTGTAAAGAAAATAACAAGTCAATAAACTTAACGGAAACCTTCAATGGGTGGTAAACACAACAAGGAATGTTAAAGAAACCACAGAGGAATGATGGTTGTTTGTTGAGAATAGAGAAGATACACGTGGGCTGCAAATAAAGCAGATTTACAAATGAGTGTCAAAAAACCAAAACCAACGGAATTACAATGGCCAATCAGAACAAAGCTTAAAATGATCATTATTATCCAATCAGACCTCAAAGTAAAAACAAGCAACTTGCTGGAAGCCGAGTGAACAAATTGGGATTGGGTATAGTTTTGCATTTGATTGGTTTAGATGGAGGCGTGGAGTTTTTTTAGACCAATCACAGAGCAAAGTAAAGCAAAACCAAAGCGATCCGGGATCACTTTCGATACTCAACTAAAAACTGCTTACTTGTTGAAAATGGACGAGCTGTAAAACAGTTCCTGTCAACTTACTCTGTCCCGTTTGTATTTAGATATGGGAACCACCTCTGCTGACCAGGATGATGAAGAATTTGACATGTTTGCTCAATCAAGGAAAACTACTTTTGACGAAAGCAGGAAAGGGTGAGTTTGTCAATTTCCCCCTTATTTTGGGAAGGAGATGAAACCCTCAGAGGAACCCAAAGAGGTTTTACAATTCCTATTCCAAGCAACGCCTGGAAACATAATTCATGGGAGATCAGAATCGTTGAGTGTAAAATAAATCAAGATGGATTACTCTTAGTAATTTGGGCCTGTGCAGGGGATTCTGTCTCTTAGATGAACCCTCTCCTTGGCTGACCTAGCCTTTTCATTAATAACAGAAAGCAATTACAATGACATATGGTTGTCGCTAACTTCAATTTTTTTTGTTAATGATTTTCTTTGTTTTCCAGCGGATCTTCGTACACGGATAACCTGCAGCCTTTTGATCGCTCGATTGGTAATACCATATCTATTCAAAAGACAGACTCAGAAGACACCCAAGCAGCCAAGGTATGAAGTATTTGTATTGATAGAGCGCTCTTTGATTGTTTGTTGTTCAAACCAAAATCAATAATGGCCAATTACTGAAGATGCTTCAGATAGAAACAAGCCACAACGATATAGCAAACTAGCATTAATTCAGACCGTTAGGAATGGCTTGTTTAAAATTACAGTGTACTTTCATATATGATTTGAATATTATAGTTTAATGCTGTCAGCCTGTGAGTTATCATACATTTAACTACAAGAACTCGTCATTTATCAGACACTTGATAGTGTCTCGGAATTTTTTTTTTCACATACTCTTTCCTTTTTCTCCACAGACCGAGGAACGAAGGTAAGAGAATTTTATTGTGGAAAAGCTGCGCCAACGATGAGCTATTCGTTCAAGTAGATGCTACCCTCCGAATGACAGAGAGCCCCCCTTAAGTTAAATAGAAGAAGTGGATTCCATTCCCAGGGGTATAAATAGGCAGCGGTGAACTGTCAGGGAAACCAGAGGAAATGCAGGGGGGATGGGGGAGGGGAGGGGTAATCTGCGATGGACCAGCATCCTATTCAGGAGGAGTAACAATTCTCCAAGTCGCTTCCTGCCACCAGAAACTGGGACAAGCTTCGGCGGTGTGGGCCCAAGAAGATATCCCCGGAAGATACCCTTGGGAGATGCCCTCGTTAGATACCCCCGGGAGATATCCATAGAGATATCCCGAGAGATAACCCGGGAGATACTCTCGGGAGGGGGTATATACGACGGACTAACGTTTCGCCCAGGACGACAAGTAACTTCACGTTACAGAAACCAGCATCAAGTGGGGTCGTGATGGATCACTTTGCTTTGTAAGACTGAACCTTTGATCCAAAGCAATGGCTGAACCCCGACTTTCAAGCATTTTTCTTTGCTATGATGTCCTTTAAAGGTGCGTAGTCATGTCTCCAGCTCCAGAGCATTGTATGTATCACTGACTGGCCGTACCTCGGATTAGAGGCTTAAATCTCCCTCTCCCCTCCCCTCCCCTCCCCTCAAACGGCAACAATGTTATAAGGAAGTCCATTTAATGTCCAGCTTGTGAATTGTTTTTGTACTTCTGGTATTTCAGTGCAATGGATGATATTGAGTCGTGGCTTGATATAACAGAGAAAGATGTGGTAAGGGCAGCATTAGTTATGTATTGTTATTCAAATCAGTATTATTAATTTGAAGTTTCGTTAGTGTACAAACTTAAAACAGTTGTCACTATTTCTTATTACCTTGCCCAATTTCTCCATTCTTGCTCACGCCCGGTATTTTCAAAGCTAAAGCAGCTTGGTGTGAACGGAGCGCGCGAAGAATGACGGAGAAGAAAGAAAGTAATTTTTCCATCACTCCTCTCGCGCTCTGCTTGTCTGAGCGATCCTCTCTACGAAATCAAATAAACAACCACTGGGTACTAGTATTACGTCCATGCCACACGAGATTTTATCCGTAACTCAGCCAGTAACACATTTTTTCGCGTTCTTGGTACCGCAGACACGTGGTGTGGTGCACCAGAGTTCGCCAGATCAACCACTGTGAATTATGAGGATAGGCAGCAGGATTTCTAACTCGTTTATTCCTACAGCACATACAGCACATGCAGCACATACAGCACACACAGCACACACAGCACACACAGCACACACAGCACACACAGCACATACAGCACACACAGCACACACAGCACATACAGCACACACGGCACACACGGCACATACAGCACACAGCACACACAGCGCAAACAGCACATGCGGTGAAAACTAAAGAAATACGCAATGTCTCGAACTAAGAGAAACCGAAAAGGCTACAAATTGAACAAAGGCACGAACAAAAGGAAATTAACAGGCATGAGTTACATTGGATTTGCCTCCGGGAGATAATGAACTCGTAGCTCTAGAAAACTCCGAACTCCGCAAAGTTTTCTCCTTACCGTATAAGCATGTTGTGAAAACTGAACTAAGAGCGGATGGTAAGGGAATTAAGCTAACGCGTTTATGTAGAAGAAACAAAAATGAACAATGGTTTTTTACTGCTAGCCGCAAACGGAAAATCAATGAATCAATGTCTCTGTAATAAAAAAGGGGAAAAGGTTCTAAATGTAAAAATGGCAGTTCATCCCCGTAAACGTGACACATTTGCTCCTTTAACAGGCTGAAGCCGCTGCTGGTCAACCAAATGGTGACACCTTAAGTAGTTCAGGTTTGTAGAGCCGAGAGCGCATTTCGATTTGAGTGTACTAAAACCAAAACCAAAGAAATTACAATGGTCAAAAGTATCAAAGGAAATTATCGCAAGGAGCCGCCAATGACTCATAGCTAGAACTCAGGCCCCGTCCACACTGATGCGTTTTTGAAAACGCATTGATATGTACGCGTTTTGCCCTCCCGTCCACAATGATATGCTCGAAAACGCTGAGCGTTTTCATCGAAAACGGATCCTTTTGAAAACGCTGTTGA